CTACACAGGTATCTATGCTCTGCCCACCACGAATATCGTAACCCGGTTTCTAGCGGTATAAGTCCGCAGACATACCGCTGTGATGTATGGTAGGATTAACTTAATTTCAAAAGGTAAAAACTCTTTCTGTTGGCCGTCATGATGTAAGAATCTTAAAAGTGATGTGTGATCAATTGAGTTGAAGTAAAAACTAAGTCATTTTTAATGGACAATGAAAATACAGAAACTCGAAAATCACAAAGACATTAGTTATTCATTTCTTTATTAAAGTGATTTTATTAATCTTTCTTTCATTAGTAGAACGTGTATTTAAAACCAGATAATTCGTCAAAATGTATATTACAAAAATGCTTGGTGTAATGGTAGACAGAGTAGTAAAGTAGTTGCTGCATGTAATAATAAATATGACAGTTGTAGTAACTGTTGTGTTCTATAGATATAGGCAGTTCTATATACAGGGTGTCTAGAAATGGATGTAAACATTTTAAAACGTTTTAACTTTTAAAAATGGCGACACGTGGTCAAGTGCATGTTTGTCTTCGTACACTGGGTTTTATACCATCTACATTAATCTCTGTTAGTTTTTAGGATTTTAGGTCATTAATCAAACGTTCTGAAAGTCAATCAGTTGTTTCTCTGAAACAGTCCATGAGATCGACTAGTGTGTAACTAGATGATGGGTTTAAACCATAGATTTGATGTGCTCTCAGAACCAAAAAAGAAAAAATGTGTGACACCCAAGGAAACGGCGAATTCGTATGTTTTCTATTAATCCAAACATCCAGTCACCCACCGCCCCTAAAAAACAACAACAAAAAACAAACGTCGTCATGAAAACAAATTGACTGATGCACCATAAGGGCTAATAAAAATGTATCCTGGTTGGGGAGGGGAGCAAACTTAATTATAGGGGGCTAATCCCCATAATCGTTATTACAGGTCAGCCAAACTAAAGTATAGGATCTTCTATCACGAACACAAAATGCGAAGTTGAGTGGTGCCCGTCTTTCTGGAAGAAAAAAAAAATGCAAATAACACCTTCAGTTTCCAAATTCAAGAAAGAAAACGTTATAGAACTAACTTTCATATTCTACTAAACCGAATTCTTTAAACGAGAATGCAGATAACAATATGTTTTCAGTTTTAAGGACAAAATATCCCACTGAAAACATGAAAAAGTTATTAAAAGTCTTGCTTTACCTTGCTTTTAGCAAATACGTTGTTTGTTGAATTTTATGCAAAGCTACTGGAGGACTATCTGTCCCTAATTTTTAAGTGATAGACCAGAGGCAGCTAGTAAACATCACTGAATAGTGCCACTTGCACTAGCTGTCCCTAATTTTAATTGATAGACTATAGAGAAGGTAGCTAGTAAACATCACCGAATAGTGCGACTTCATCGTTACTCTTATAACGCACTCATAGCCCCAAGGTGCAGAGCGCGATTTGTTTTTCTGACAGTAATGGGGTGCGAAGTAGGGAACCTCGGATCCATAACTCAGCACACTTACCACGGAACCGCACTAAGCCAAATATACATTATTATATATGCATCAGTAATGTTACCATAGTGTGTAGGTAGACTTGAGTACGAGAAGAATAAAAATATTTGCGGTAGAAATTCTGATAAAGCATTACAAAATATGAGCATATGACAGTTTAATAACCAAGTGTTTTTAAACTTAAACAATATTAATATATTACGACAAAAATCCTTATATAACATCTTGTATTAGGATATTAGCTTCATATAGAAATATTGTACAGAAGTTTACTGGTTCGTTCTTTTTTCATTGTACGAACTAATTTATGATACTGTTACGTCTCTGGTCATTAGTTAACTTCCCATATAATTCCTTTCCGATGAAACTTTAGCGACACAAGTCCTTTCTTAAAT